TGTTGATTAAAGAAAGCGCTACCGCAACTTTACTGATTATCCCTGCTGTCTTCTCATATTAACAGCCATAAAATATTTTTTTCAAATAGTTTTGTCAGTCTTACATGTGAACATGTTTAACAACTAGAGATATCAACGGTAAGCGTTCAATGTATCAGTTTACACGAAAGTTCTTGCGGAAGTCCTGTGGGTCATGTGTATGCATCGAGTGCGATCTTATTCAACCACAATTAATTTATTGGAATTTTACAAAAATAGAACTAAGCTGTCTTTACAGACGTAAACTTACATAGTTACTGTGCCTTGATGAGACATCACGCGTCGCTTGCAATTCATGATCAGGTTAAACTCAAGACTTGCAAAATTTTATTACTTTTCCTCGGCCGCGATTATCTTGAGGCAAAAGAGGGAAACAATGTAACTGATCCTCAACAAAATTTAGCATGGATTAATTTGGAGCTTTTGCAAACGAAACGCGGGAACACTATTAGTTCATGATAAACGCCACGTACATGCATGCAACACTGTCTTGTACATGTAGGTCACTCTTATTTAAGCAACTTAGGACGAAAATATTTTAACGAAATTGCTAGAGACATAAACATAAACATATTGAGCAGTGGGCCTAAAATGCAAAAGAAATTGTGAAAATAAATCACTGGTGGCTTAAAAATAAATTAATAAAATTCGATTTCCGGTTCGACGAGAGGAGATTTTTGGTAGCATTAATTTCACCGGAAGTGCGGAAGGAGCGCTCGTGCCAGTTCTACTCCTCAACACACATTGGACCAAGAGCGGAATGTCCGTTTCACGGCCCGACCTTTTCCCGCCCTCTTAAGACAGTTGGACCCTGCTATCCTTTCCAATTTCTGTGGTTAACGTAGATGAACAGTTACCGTAAAAAATTTTAATTTTTTTTATTTTTTTATTGTCTGCATACCACAGGATATTGACTGGGATCCTGTAGATGGACAATTTCTTGTGAGTGTTAGCAGTGATCAGACAACCAGATTACACGCTCCGTGGAAACAACACGGACGACAGGTTAGTTCGAGATATATTAGGCGTTTATGTTTAGCAACATACAATTGCTATTGAGGAACGCCTGTTTCTGGACTTTGGAAATTGTTGAAGTGAGATGCATGAAGTACTTAGAGCTTCATTAATAAAGCTCTTTGACTTACGTGGCCAGCGGCCTTGCAAATTCATTGGAACAAGAGAAAGTGTTTACATTAGAAAAGAGTTCAACTCCCACAGAAGAGGCCATTTTCGATATATTAACATTCAAACTTGGCTACGAGGCTTGGGAAACAAAACAAAGGAAATCAATTATTCATCACTCAACTTCGATTCGATTTCGTTTCTTTTATTCCCGCAAGCCTCGGAGCCAAGTTAGAATTTTGATATGTTGAAAATGACCAGTTGGTTTGGGACACCAACATGGCCGCTGTTTCATTGTTTTCCTACACCAATATGGTGTCCCTGACGTCATTTGAAAACTCTCTATGCTATGTGAAGTAGAAATCTTTCCCCTTCATGTTTGGTGGACAAGTTCACTTTAACTTTCACGAAAGGGGCGTGAAAAAAACGTCAATAAATTCTTACCTTTGGCGCACGCGTTTACCGAGACTGGAAGACGCATCAATGTATCATCAGAGGTTTTAAAGAGCCATTGTAAAAAATACTTTTTTTACGATAACTGCAGAATCTCTCGCGCGCTCATTGGCTAATTTTCATCGTCAATATGCGGACAGACACATTAATTTATAATTTATGGGATGCGTCAACGAGCGAGAGCGGACAATTTGACAATCTGCTATCGTAGAAAACAAATTGACGTCAGGTTTTCATACGTCTGTCCATTATTCAAAGTAGCCGTGGATCCACAGACTACTTTGACAATGTTATGACGAAATTCATCATCAATGAACAGGACAGACGCATGGAAAACTAACGTCAATTTGTTAAATTGCATTTACTTGCTGGGAAGTTTTGGGGAATATCGGTGTAGTCTCGTGTTTTGCTGTTTTGTTTTGCCTTTTTTTAATATTATGGACCGAACCAACGGCAGCAAATGCTTCGTTATGCTAATTAAGTTTCCTGCCTTTCGCTTTCTTACATGTTTATGTGTTCTTTACTTCATTATTTGTTGTGCTTTTCTAAGCAGTCCTTGTGGTGTGAAATAGCCCGTCCGCAGGTTCATGGCTATGACATGCAGTGTTTGAGCATGCTCAGTAGATACAGACTGGTATCTGGCGCCGATGAAAAGGTAAAGGCATTATTCATTATTGATTTGTTACGGGCTTGGCAGTGAGCGAGCCATGTACCTGTAGAATGCATGTCCACTTCAATTGTTTTGCACACTTACTTTGTCATTTCAGGTCCTAAGAATATTCAAAGCACCTCGTCAGTTCATGGAGACATTTCAAGGACTTTGCAAAGTTAAGGAAAACGATGAGGTACATTTAAATATCAGCCATGTTGAAAGAATTTTACGTCTTTGACCTATAATAGCGGCACCTCACAGATGTGGACACTTTGATCAGGACCTTTGGCCCTTGTATCAGCGAATTTGGACTTCAGCAACTAACAAATGGCTTGCTGTAACTTAACTTCAGGTGGCTGATAGTTTGCCTGTAGGAGCGAGTGTACCTGCTCTTGGACTTTCAAACAANATGACATGCAGTGTTTGAGCATGCTCAGTAGATACAGACTGGCATCTGGCGCCGATGAAAAGGTAACGGCATTATGGATTATTGATTTGTCGCGGGCTTTGCAGTGAGCCCGCCATGTACTTGTAGAATGCATGTCCACTTGAATTGTTTTACACCCTTACTTTCTCATTTCAGGTCCTAAGAATATTCAAAGCACCTCGTCAGTTCATGGAGACATTTCAAGGACTTTGCAAAATTAAGGAAAACGATGAGGTACATTTAAATATCAGCCATGTTGAAAGAATTTTACGTCTTTGACATATAATAGCGGCACCTCACTGATGTGGACACTTTGATCAGGACCTTTAACCCTTGTATCAGCGAATTTCGACTTCAGCAACTAACAAATGGCTCGCTTTAACTTAACTTCAGGTGGCTGATAGTTTGCCTGTAGGAGCGAGTGTACCTGCTCTTGGACTTTCAAACAAAGCTGTCTATGAAGGTGAGAGACTGAATGCCGGCAATTTAGAAATTTGTAGATTTTACAAGTTTGCCTTCTTCTTTCATTTTTTCTTTTTTTTTCTTTTTTTTTTTTTTTT